CCTACGTCCATGAAGTTGGGCGACAGCAGCACTCACAGTCGGATGAAGTGAGCAGGTGCTGATGGCACAGTGAGTTTGTGGGAAAGCAGCCCCATGCCCATGGTTCCTACTCCTGGGAGCCATGACTCCTCTCTCCCTGTCGGCCTCTGTTCACTTCACAAGGAATTCTCTAATATTAGCGGACAGAGAAACAAAAGACTGGGGGCTGGTTTGCAGATGCTCTGTGCTAGACACAGAGGAGGACAGCACAGCACTACCACCCCGCTCTGCGGCCTCCCTGAAGGAAAACGCTCTTAAGTAGACAGAATAATGGGTGCCAAACTTGACTACTCAGAATGAGGAAGACCCAAATGCATAAGTACATCCCAGTGGATGGGCTGCAGCCGGGGTCTGAATGGATCATCAGAGCTTTGGAAGAAAGATCGAAAGCTGGAGACAAGGAAATTCAGAATCGAGGTACATGGGCATGTGTGTCTGAGGACAGCGTGGTGAAGGCCTGTGTCCCAGTGATGCCCACCAGCGAGGTACCCAGCAGAGGAGGGAAGATGGCCTACACAGATCGGATGACTGTGGGTAGATACCTATATTCTGTGCAGTAAAAATTACATAAAAAGTGTATTCTATCCAGGGGAAAGGGTAAACGGATGAAGCAAAGAAGAGGGGGAAATGCAGTCAAGAATCAAATGTACATTCTACAAAATTAAGAATGAGGGAGGGGTGGGTAGGGAAGGGCTGGGTGAAACTGATCGAGACATACTGTATTCATGAACTTCTTTGTTAAATGGCAACTCCTTTGTAACTACTTAAAGATAATAAAACAAAGAAAAAAGATAACTAAAAAAGGTCGGAAGTGGAACTGTGGCTCAAGAAGTACAGTGCTAGCTTTGAGCTGAAGATCTGAGGGACAGCGCCCAGGCCCAGAGTTCAAGCCCCACAACCAACCAAAAAAAAAAAAAAAAACATGGGTACCAGTCACTCAGGCCTGTAATCTTAGCTACTCTGTGTGAAGCCAGCTCAGGCAGGAAAATCCATGAAATTCTTATCTCCAATTAATCACAAAAAGAAAGTTGTAAGTATAGCTGTGGCTCAAGTAGTAGAGTGCTAGCCTTGAGCCAAAAAGCTCAGGGACAGCACCCAGGCCCTGAATGAATTCAAGCCCCAGGACCAGCACAAAAGAATAAAAACTTTTTTGTTTTTGTGTGTGTGTGTGTGTGTGTGTGTTTTTTTTCCGGTTGTGGGCCTGAACTCTGGGCCTGGGCGCTGTCCCTCAGCTCTTCAGCTCAAGGTTAGCCCTCTACCACGTGAGCCACAGCGCCACTTCCGGCTTTTTCTGCTTATGTGGTGCTGAAGAATCGAACCCAGGGCCTCATGCATGCAAGGCAAGCACTCTGCCACTGAGCCACCTTCCCAGCCCAAGAATAAAAATTTTAAAAATGAAATTTCAAAGTAAAAAAATATATAAGTAAAATAAAAAATAATAAACTCTATCAACTAGACCTTGTTATATCCATTTCGCAAATAAAAGATTGACACTTAAAAAGCCTGAGCAATGTTCAAGATTGCTATTAGTAAACACAAGAGCTAAAATTCAATCTCAGGACTATTTGACTCCAAAAATCTATGCACTTCAACCCAGAAACAGACTCCAATGGAACAATTACCAAGTAAGTAATACAGCATTAAAAAATAATGAATAAGAATGTTTAATTGTCAACATTGGGACAATGATCTAACTTTGGAAAGGGGAGGAGAAAAAAGATGGTTACCTGTAAAACCCCAGATGAATTAAATAAGTGTAAACAAAAGTATTGGGAAGAAAAAGCAAATGTCTGTCACATTTTAAGAAAGTGAAACAGGGGCTAGAAAGGTGGCTCAGTGGTAGAGCGCTTGCCTTGCATGCATGAGGCCCTGGGTTTGATTCCTCAGCACCACATAAGCAAAAAGAAAAAAGCCAGAAGTGGCGCTGTGGCTCAAGTGGTAGAGCACTAGCCTTGAGCTGAAGAGCTGAGGGACAGCACCCAGGCCCAGAGTTCAGGCCCCATGACCAGACCAAAAAAAAAAAAAAAACAAAGAAAGTGAAACAATCTGAGAAACCAAAGATAGAAAAAGAAGAACTACTATCAAAATATAAATATTCTGGAAATCAAAAGAGCAAATAAGATTAAAAATAAAAATAAGAACTACAAAAACATCTATATTTTTGGTTAAAAAAATGTTTTCACAGATCAAGAGATCACATAATCCAATATCACACGCACACATACATACACTCACTCTCTCTCTCTCTCTCTCTCTCTCTCTCTCTCTCTCACAGAGCAGAGTGCTGGCTCCTATTTTTCAGAGGAGGAGATCAGAGGATTAAGGCTCCAAGCCAGCCCTGGCATAAAAGTTCATAAGACTCCATCTGAAAGTATGGCTCAAATAGTAAAGCACCCAACTAGCAAGTATGAGACCATGAGTTCAAAGCCTAGTACCACCAAAAAGAACAAAACAAGGGAACAAAGGACATGAAACTATGTATGTTCTAGATTTTTGTATCTTTTAACAATTAAGACATCCAATCTCACTAAAAACTATTAAAAAGCAAAATTACAATGAGAAAACATGCTTCACCATGAGGCCTGCAGTCACAGTAACCAAGGCACAGCAAGGAGGCAGCGTCGCCTACAAAAAGCATATACTTCTCAAACAACCAGAGACATGAAACCTTCTCTTGTCTTACACATAGAACTACTCATCTTGTAACTTTCACCATTCTTTTCTATTAGAACATAACAGACCAGTGCTCATGTCTGTAATCTTGGCTACTTGGGTGGAGGATGAGGCAATAAAGTTCTTGACTCCATCTAATCCAGTGGCTGCCCCAGCTGCAGAGGAAACAGCAAAGACCAGATCCAGCAGACCGTCCCCAGCAGCATGAGAACGCACACGCACGTACGGAGGGTCGCAGCCAGGCTGGCCTGGGCGCAGAGCTAAACCCTCCCCCAAGAGTAAATAATACAAAAGTGGCTTGAGGAACGACACAACTGGTACCATCACTGCTGGAAAAAATATTAATAAAAATAGCACCTAAAACAGAAGTCTTATCCGTCTAAAGCAGCAAAGCTTTTCATAGTAACCCTAGAAATTAAGCATGGTATCAATCACAAGGAAGTTATTCTGCTTCTTTAGGTCAGCTTGGAAAATACAATTCAATAACCTGTATTACAAATTTAATAGAAACAACCTGCTTGTGATACATTTTCCTGTGGTAAAATGGTAAGTTAGCAAAGTGTTCTTAAAGAAGGACATTTTTCCATTAACTGAAAAGCAAGCTCAAAATATAACATGAAGGAAATCAAATGCATAGCAAATAGTTGCCACTGACTACTCTTCTTCAAGATATTGTTTCACCAAAAGACAATGTTCACTAATTGTCAAATGTCTCTTCATTAAAATGGGGAAGCTGGGCACAGTGGCTCATGCCTGTAATTCATTCTATACTCAGGAGGCAGAGATCTGAGGATCACTGTTCAAAGCCAGCCCAGGAAGAAAGTCCATGGGACTCCTGTCTGCAATAAACCACCAAAAAACTGGAAGTGGCACCATGGCTCAAAGTGGTAGAGTGCCAGCCTTGAGCAAAAAAGCTCAGGGACAGCGCCCAGGCCCTGAGTTCAAGCCCTAAAACTGACCAAAAAAATAAAATGGGGGAAATTATTTGGTCCATTAAAAAACAACTGAAAACAAGTTGCTCTGATTTTGTCACCTACTTTTGGAGTTCAGAAATAATGTATCTAGCATACTACTTAACTATCAAGTTATATAGCTTTAATAAAGTAAGTATTGACACTACAGTACCAATGATTAATGACACTAGTCAAATACACAGTAACTAGTAACAAAAAATTTACAAATGGGAAAAGTCTGAGCAGGAAGATCAAAATAGATATCAAAATCTCCAACAACTATAATCAATTTACCAGATAATTATAAAACAATTATACTAACATGCTGTAGAAAAGTTCAGTGAACACACACTAAATTAATACAGCTTTTAAAGTACAATTCTTCAGAAAGAAAAAATTTACCTCACAGTGTAAAAAACTGTAAACAGGGGCTGGGAAGGTGGCTCAGTGGTAGAGCGCTCGCCTTGCATGCCTGAGGCCCTGGATTCGATTCCTCAGCACCACATAAGCAGAAAAAAAAAAGCAGGATGTGGCGCTGTGGCTCAAGTGGTAGAGTGCTAGCCTTGAGCATCAGAGCTGAGGGACAGCACCCAGGCCCAGAGTTCAGGCCCCATGACCGGACCAAAAAAAAATAATAATAATAACTGTAAACAGCTTCTTAAACATTATGTGCCTATTAAGAGATGAGTATTTTCTGTTGGGGATTCCATACAACCAGCGTATGAGGTAGGTTTTATTTAAATTTAAATTTTATTTTCATTATTTATTTTATTTAAATTCTAATTTAAAGAATAAAAACCTGAAGTTCAATAATAACAGTGACTTGCCTAAAGTCTGATAGAGAATGGCTGAGCTGGCACTGGAACACAGATCTACTTTTCTTCAACAAAACATGCTTTGTTATTTATATTAAGCCAATCATTATTTATTTAGATCACATTAAAATTTGCACTTGGCATTAACATTTGTACTTCTCTATCCTGTTATATGTTTTGAAATAACTAAAAAAATAAACAGAAAACAAAATAGAAACTATGAAATCGTCTGATAACCGGAGAAACAAAAGTGCCCTTCCTAAATACTCACACAAAACTGTATCATCAAAATCATAGTAAATATAAAGACTGCCTCTTGATTATCAAGAGAAAACCTTTCACAACTAAGAACAGGAATGCTAAGTAAAATCCAGGTTTCTGACTTTAGTAAGGAAGGACTTCACCATTTAAAAGAAGTTTCAAAACAGGAAGATAACTTAGGAAAGAAAAATCTAAGATTACACTACAGTAAAAAATTAAAAACCATTAGTTATGACTATATTAAGCAATATGTACTAACCATGAATCAGGGAGCCGTTAAGCCACTGAATATAGTAGTTTTGAGGAAAAGAAAGCAGGATCTCATTGCTGATGATTGAGAAGGGTAACAGCAAAACAGTTCCAGCTGAAACGGCTAGGGTGAAGGTGCTCAGAAACAATCTGGAAGAGAGAGAGCCATCGTCAAAGGTGATCTGGAAAAGCAACGAACATGGAAGCAAAATAGCAATGAATATAACAAGCACTTCAATTTATATGCTAGGCTTGAGACTTGAAGTTAGGACCTGCACACTGTCCATGAGCATTTTTTTTGCCCAAGTCTAGTGCTTTACCATTGGGTCACAGTTCCACTTTCAATTAAACTGAAAGTACTTGGAGATAAGAGTCTCACGGACTTTCCTGCCCAGGCTGGCTTTGAACCATGATCCTCAGATCTCAGCCTCCTGAGTAGCTAGGATTACAGGTGTGAGCCCACCCTGGCAAACTCTTTAATTTTTTACAAAAAAACCTATTACATAACAAATTAATTCATTATGTGTCATTGGGACACATATTATATACATTTGATTCTGAAAGTCAGATGAAGACCCCACCTACTCCCTCAACAAAAACACAAGTCTAACAAGTACGCCTACAAACCAGAGTCTGAAAGCAGTACTTCCTCACACCGTTCACAGCAGTAGTTCGTTCCTCTTTTAGATATAAGTATTTATTTCACAATTGCATTTAATTAACAACTTTGACAACATATGCTAACAGCAATGCAACAACTGTTTCACATGAAGAAAGACCTGTGAACATAGCATGAAAAACAAATTAATTTAAAATGGTTACTTCATAATAGGGAAATGCTACTTAGCCTAACTTGCACGCACACTGATCCCTACTAAAGACACAGATATCCCTACAGAGATACCTTTTTTTTTTTCTTTTTTCTTTTTTTTTGCCGGTCCTGGGGCTTGAATTCAGGTTCTGTCCCTGAGCCTCTATGTGCTCAACGCTAGCACTCTACTACTTGAGCCACAGTGCTACTTCTGGCCTTTTCTAAGTAGTTTATTGGAGGTAAGTCTCACTAACTTTCCTGCCCGGACTGGCTTCAAACCGTGATCCTCAGAACTCAGCCTCCTGAGTAGCTAGGAGTACAGGTGTAAGCCACCAGCATCCAGCTAATACACATTTATTTTAAAAGAACTACAGATCAAGAACAAGAAAATAAGAAATGATCCTACCACACTCAAAAATAAACAATGCTGCTTGCTACTACCTGTTTGATAAACTGTTATTTAGAAAAACGTTAAGATAGGTTTGGATGCACAGCTCCAATTGTAGAGCACCAGCCAGAGTGAAAGCAAGCATCAGAAGCTGAGTTCAAGTCCCAGCCTGAGACCAAAAAATGTAATAATGTAAACCAAATAGGTTACTTCAGGGAAAGTCACTGACCTAATGATGAGTATGGGTGGGGGTGTGGGTATGTGTGCATGTGCTACAAATCCTGGGACTTGAACTCAGAGTGTGGGCACTGTCTCTGAGCATTTTTTTTTTGCTCATGGCTAGCACTCTGCCACTAGAACCACAGCTTCGCTGCCAGCTTTTTGGTGGCTAATGAGGTAAGAGTCTCACAGACTTTCCTGCCCAGGCGGGAAAGGTTTCAAACTACAACCCCAGATCTCAGCTTCCTGAATAGCTACAATGACAATCATGGGCAGCAGCAACTGGCACTGTCTTAAAATGAGTAAAAGTTAAGTAACTTACATCAGCAAATACTGGACAACTAGTAAATAATACTGTACAATCGACAATATTTTCAATACTACTTTGTCATTTTAAAATTAGATAGCTGGGCTAGAGTATGGGTCAAGTAGTAGAGCATCTACCTTATAATCACAAGGCCCTGAGCTCAAACCTCAGTACCACAAAATCTTAAAATTAAAATATGTAAGTCTGGGGCTGGGAAGGTGGCTCAGTGGTAGAGCACTTGCCTTGCATGCATGAGGCCCTGGGTTCGATTCCTCAGCACCACATAAGCAAAAAAAAAAAAAAGCCAGAAGTGGTACTGTGGCTCAAGTGGTAGAGCGCTCGCCTTGAGCTGAAGAGCTAAGGGACAGTGCCCAGGCCCAGAGGTCAGGCCCCACGACTGGACCCAAATAAATAAATAAAATATGTAAGTCAACAAAGCAAACCGAAGAAAAACAAAGGTAATTAATGTAGTGCGTGCTTTTCCTCCTCTGTCCTGACACCACCTAAAAACGCATCTATACAATCAGGAAGAGTGACTAAAACATCCCAAATAAGACTGGTGGCAGTGGGTGGCTCACATCTGTCATCCTAGCTACTCAGGAAGATGAGATCTGAGGATCCCAGTTCAAAACCGGTCCAGGCAGGAAAGTCTGTAAACTCTTATCTCCAATTAACCACTCAACAACTGAAAGTGGTGCCGTGGCTCAAAGTGGTAGAACACTCACCTTGAGCAGAAGAGCTCAGGGACAGCGCCCAGGCCGAGTTCAATTCCCATGACCAAAAACAACAACAACAACAATGCACAAGATTCCCATAAGCGAGAAGTTATGAAGACCTGCACTTTCTCACCTGCACACTATGGGAATGTTTAAAATTTTTGTAACGAATTTGAAAAGTTGGGTAGGGGGAGGTGGTTGTTTTTGGTGTTGTTGTTGTTTCCTGGTCCTGAGTTCAAACTCAGGGCCTAGTGCTGCGCCCCTGACCTTTTCTGCTCAAGGCTAGCAACACAACCCACAGCTTCACTTGCAGTTTTTCTGGTTGCTAATTGCAGATAAGAATCTTATGGGGTTTTTTCCCTGGGCTGGTTGTGAGTTTAAGATCCTCAGATTTCAGCCCTCTAAGTAGCTAGGATGACAGATATGAGCCGCTGGTGCCCCACTTGGAAAAAGTGTTTTAAAAAGACAGAAATGGTAAAGGAAAAGGAGACTTCATTAAAGCAGATAGAAATCTAATAACCATGTGACTGAAGTTGATATTAGACAAATATACGGATGAATGCAAGTGTAAGTAGAAAAGCGGAGGGGCGTATTAACTGCCCCCATGTACATGTAGTATACTAAACTTGAGGCCAGTGCCACCTTGTGGCAACAAGGAGAAGCGTGTTTCTACTTCACCCAGAGTGCCCAGGAGACTGTGCTTCAATGAGCAGGTGGTTATTTTTTTACACCTGAACCACAAAGCATACCAACCACATAATTCAAACCAAGCCTGGAAATAGTGTTGAGAAATGGCTCTGCTTGGGAGACCACGCGTGTCGGGGAGAGCATCTGAACGAGTCCCCACCTCCGGGTGGATGCCAGCGGCCGCACCCCTCAGCAGGCCCTGCCCAGCGGTCCCAGCACACCTAGACTGCCCTCGCCTGGACTTCCCTGCCCTCGACAGACTCCGCAGGCCCACGGCTCCCTGCAGAGCTACTCTCTCCCTGGGCAGGTACTCCCCAAGAATCTCCAGGCCAACTTCAAACATCATGTGCCCCACACATCCCTCCAACCCCCCCTTTCTGGCTCCTCCCTCCTCTTGGTTCCCACAATACTTGGACCACATCTGGCCCACACAGTTTACAAATCAAACACTGAAACCAATGTTCTGACAAAAGGAATCAGCTTATAGGGCAAACACAGAGTGTTAAAAGTTACATAGTACATAAAGTGACCTGGAAAGTCTTGAGTGTGTGTCACTGTTAGAATATGCTACACTTTAGCTTTTGGCCTTAAAAATCAACAAAAGAATGGGGAAATCATTCCTTTGGCCCTTAAGAAGATACAGTAGAGCTATTCAAAAATGTAAGGGGGGAGGGGGGCTGGGAAGGAGGCTCAGTGGTAGAGCACTTGCCTTGCATGCATGAGGCCCTGGGTTCAATTCCTCAGCACCACATAAGCAAAAAGGAAAAAGCCAGAAGTGGTGCTGTGGCTCCAGTGGTAGAGCGCTAGCCTTGAGCTGAAGAGCTGAGGGACAGCGCCCAGGCCCAGAGTTCAGGCCCCATGACCGGACCCAAAAAAAAAAAAAAATGTAAGGGGCTAGGCCCTGGTGGCTCACACCTGTAATCCTAGCTATTCAGGAGGCTGAGATCTGAGGATCGTGGTTCAAAGCCAGCCCAGGCAGCAAAGTCCATGAGACTCTTCTCTACAATTAACCACCAGAAAACTACAAGTGGTGCCGTGGCTCAAAGTGGTAGAGCACTAGCCCTGAGCAGAAAAAGCTCAGGGACAGCGCCCAGGCCCTGAGTTCAGTTCCCACAAAGGACCCCCCCCCCCCAAAAAAAAAAAATGATGCAATGTATTAATGTTCTCAGAGGATCCTTAAAAGAAGGCTTGCGTTGAAAAACCTACATAGAAATGTTGCTTATGCAAAAGCACCCTTTCAGACTTGAAGGACAGTTTCAGAAATGTGCAAATGGGGCAGTGGAGAAACACTGGCCTCCAGAGTACTGTGTCTTTTGTGGCTGCGGCAGCAGTAAGAAGAGGCAAAGCCTCACTTCACCTCCATAAAGCGATAGCAGCTCACATCAGAGACTCAATATAACTAGTTTTGCAAAAATGCCGTCATCTGTAAAGGTGTCTGTGCAAGGTGATGATGACAGTTTAATTCTTTTACACTCCAGAAAGCTTTCATACACTTCGCATTCACAAACAAGAGCCAAAACCAGATCTGCTCTCTGGCTCTTGGCCTCCACACGCAGCTCTGGCCAAGCTTTCTACCAAAGCTCCACTCAGTCTTTTCCTTCAACACAGGGAAAGAATAGTAAATTCGTGTCCAAACTTACCACCTGACCAATGGAAACCATTTTCCCCAGCTGCACGCTCTGCCCCTCCCCTTCTGTCGTCCAGGGTCCTGCTTCCTCAGTGACAGTCCTTCACCTTCCACATCACCTCCTCTCACAGGGTAACGCCCTTGTGTGTGTTCACCTTTTCAAACAGCTTCTGAAGGAAGCCTTGCCCACCATATCTATAACTGCACATCAACTTCTTTTGCTTTTGTGCTGGCACTGCGGCTTGCACCTGACCAGGGCCTACAACACTGTCCTTGAGCTTTTTTGCTCAGGACTGTGCTCTACCACTTGGGCCAAAGCTCCACTTCTGGCTTTTTTAATTGGGGATGAGAATCTCACTGAGTTTTCTGCCTGGACTAGGTTTGAGCTGCTATCT